CGAAATAGATTAAAAAAAAAAAAGATAGTAGTATGATATATGAGTTGTTATTAAGGCAGAAAGGTGAGGGACGTCCGGTGGGCAGGGGGGGGGGGGGGGGGGGGGGGGGACATCCCTCTGCAGGCTTTGTTCCGGCATCACTGGGGAGGACGCCCCACCCAGCACCGGCAGGTCTCGCCTGTCTTGAAGTTGTATGATCTAATGTTGAGGCGTCCAGAGAAGATCTTAAGATCAAGGAATTCAGCAGTAAATTGTGGAGAGAAATTTGGGGTGAGGGCACCTTTTCCAAGCTTGTGCAGCAGAGTTAGGGTTCTCTTTATGCACGAGCCATTCTTGCTGATTCAACACCCAACTGTGTTGCTGCTGCCGTACCTGCAGTATCCTTTCTACTTCTCTGCATCACTTGCCCCTCCATTTCTTACAGCCATTTGGAACTGTGACTGTTTTACACTTTGTGCTGAGTTATAAACTGTTTTGCCTTCATGTGATGTGACTGTGGTTTATAAACCACGGCTTACAGCAGGACTCACAACAGGTTAAATTCCAGCTAGCAAAGCACAGCGACTGCATTGTCATAACTTGCTAAGACTGGTTCATATTTAGATGATAACTAGATTCTCACCGCATGCTGAACCAACAGTTAGCCAGTCCTATTTTAGCCTGTGCTAATGTGTAGAACTTGCCAATGCTTAAACAGGACTCCTTAAAAGGAGACTCCAAGGACTTCTTGGCTACATTAAGGTATCATTTTGTATTGAAACACCCATTAAATATTGTGTGGAATTGAGTTAGTCAAGCTTTGCATCAGCAGGACCCACTTTTTAAAATTGGATCTGCATTGTGGCACTCTCCCCCAAAAGGTTGGAGGTTACAGAAGTGGGCAGAGCCACACATTCCCCAACATGAGCATGGAGAATGTGTTTCTGCACTGGATGATGAATGTAGCCATAACCAAAGGGAACGAACTGCCTCTCTCCCCCTGCCAGTATGATGACTGAGAACGGAGCTTGGTAGGATGAGGGGTCTAGAATTCCACTGGCTATGAAAAGAGTAGTTGATTGGCAGAGGGGTAGCCAGATCCTGTATGTGATCCTCCATGAAAAGGTATTTTGTTCATATGGGGGTTGGAAGGGATCTGGGAGTTCATCTAACCCTTCCCTGATGCTAGAATCCACTACTACACCAACAAATGGCCATCCAGCCTCAGTTTAAACCCATCCAGCACAGTCCACCATCCCCAAGGCAATCTATTTCATTGTTGAGCAGCTCTTGCAGTCAGGAAATTTTTCTCATGAAAAATGAAGAATGAAATGAAAACATTTTCCTTTTAATTTATTTCTTCCTTTTAATTTAATAATAATAATTTATTAAACTTCTATGCTCCCCAACTCCTAACGACTCTGGGCAGCTTTGAATTACTTGTTTCATTTCCTGTCTCCCGGAACAACTCTGAACGATTCTACCCTGTCTTGTACATGGCAGCCCTTCAGGTATTTGAAGACAGTGATCTCCAGAGTTCTCTTCTACCTAACACTTTCTATTCCTCATCTTCAATTACCTAATCTTGGTTGTTTCCCTCCTCCACTATGCAAATGTGTCTCCTAAAATGCAGTGCAAGTAGTCCTTACTTACCAACCACAATTGGGACTGGCAACTCTGTCACTAAGTGACATGGTCATAAAGTTAAACAACTGACCATGCTGACTTACAACATCAGTTCTGGCTGCAGTTGCTAAGCAAATCACCCGCAGCCATTAAGCGTGACGTTGCGTGGCCATGACTTAGGACCTCCTGCCAGCTTCCCCATGAACTTCCTTGTCAGAAGCCAGCAGTAAAGGTCGCAAATGGTGATCATGTGACTACAGGGGTGCTGTGATAGCCTCAACTTTGAGGACCAGTTGTAAATCCCATTTTTCAGGGCTGTCATAACTTCGAACTGCTGAATGAGCAGTCAGTAAGTGAGGATTACCTGTATCCAGAACCAGATACCAGATACTAGGTGCAATCTGATCAGCACAGGACAGAAAGGAATGTTTACCTCTTTTTACCTTCTGTTGGTACAGCCTAAAACTGCATTTTCCTTTCTTGCAGCACTATCACACTGTTGGCTCACATTCAACTTGTGATGCACCAAGACACCCAGATCCCTTTCACATTTCTGGTTCGCCTATCCTGTATTCTTTTTTTACCTTTATTTTTTCCTGTTCAGATGTAGGGGCTTGCCTTTGTCTCTGTTTAAATTCATCTTGCTGGGCTTTGCTCAGTGTAGCCCCGCTGTCTTTTTGTTATCTGTAAATTGATGATAATTTTTTCTAGTTCCTTGTCCAAGCCTTGCAGTCCTCTACTTGACACTTCCCTCCAGCTCAATACAGAGCCATTAATGCAGGTTCAGCCAGCTCTGTATGTATCCAGTATCTGTCCATCGCCTGACTCCTGTTTTACTAACTTCTCTACTTGGATCTCACGGGAGACTTTGTCAGAAGCTTTGATGAAGCTGAGCTACGCTGTGTCCACTGCATTCCCATGGTTAGCTAAGCTGGTCCTTCTGTCAGATACTTCAGTCACAAGTATTGTGATTTCGTCTTGAAGTTTTTTCTAACCTGGATTTTTGTTTCAGATAACTGTTGGACAAGGAACCAGCAAGCGGCTGCATCCAGCATCAGGTAATTAAACTGTCCCAAATTGCATCTACTAGAAATAAATCTGAATTAAACAGTGGCACCCCCTTCCCTCCATTGCAGATCACAGTTTCCCTCCCACAAGTAAGAGAAAGCTGTGCTTGTGGAAGAGTAACACACTGAGAATAGGCGGAAATCCTTGATTCCTGACATGCTGGTTTTCCAAAGGCAAGAATCAAAAGTTTCAGTCCCTGCCCTCTGGTGATGTGATTATCATAACTCCTCCAATGTCAGAAAGGGTGATGGGGGAGAGAGCACAGCTCCTGAAGAAAAATATGCCTGCTCTTGGTGCAGGCAGTGCTTATTCCTTCACTGAATTAGTGATGATTTCTTGCGAGTTGTCGTATGCAGTTCTCATCTAGATATTAGAGATCTACTACACTGAAAGCAGACAAATGAATCCCAAATCAGGCTGTAAGAAGCAGATACGGTGTTTTTTCTCCCACAGCTTTCCAGGAACACCCTCCCAGGAGCGTGGACTTCAGCTCCCAGCATTCCAACCAGCAGAATCATTGCAGAGAGTGCTGGGAGCTGTAGTTCATGCTAATCATCTGTCCCACCCCTGATATTTTAGGGGTGACATTATGAACTGTAGTTGCCAGCATTCTCAGTGATCACCAAATACACCTAAATAATTCTGTTCAGGGTTAACTGCCTGACTTGCAACTACCTGATGTACGTCTTCCGGAAGTTACTCTTACGGCAAAGAGAATGCTCCAAGAAAATAACCGAACATTTGTTCTTCTGAAACAGAGAGAAGATCTGCAATCGTGGGCAGGATGGGAATGAACTGCAGACCACGCCAGAATTTCGAGCACATGTTGCAAAGAAACTGGACACAATCTTGGACAAGTAGGAACAAGCATGTTATTAACATTTTCCCTTTGGTGTGGCCTAGTGGGAACTTTTCCTAGAGAATTCTGAATAGTACATTTTACATTTCACACTCCAAGTGTCTGTCAATATACTGCAGATACCTCCCAGTTGGTGATATGCAGGAACCAGTATTGTTGGCTTGGAAAGCAGTTTCTAGATTAGAGATCCTGATTTGCATAGAATTGTATAAACAGCCTTGGGGTAAAGCTCCACTATGTGCTTGTATCCCAAATGTCCCAACCTGGGTGGTGGTGTCCTTGGCAGGGAATGCTTCATGTTGCATGGATACAACCAAGGCTGCTTACACATTCACTCCTTTACTAAACATGTTCCTTGAAAGCCTTGGTGGGTACTAGAGGTCAATATCTGTGGACCCATCCAGTGACCGTGGCGTAAGGGAGATGGTGACTTGGCATGTAAGAGGAGAGAATGGCAGAGAGCTTGAAGTAACAACTGAAAGAAAGGAAAGAAAAATACAGGTAGTTCTTGTTTAGCAACTGCCTCATTCGCAGTTATCATGGTGATGAAAAAGTAATTTTACAGCCAGTCCTCTCATTTATGACCTTCGCAGTTCTGAAAAGCAAAGGAAAGCTGAAGTAAGATCATCAGCACAGTTGCGTTTTCACTTAGTGACCACTTCGCTTAATGACCAAGTTGCCGGTCCCCATTGTGAGTGCTAAACAAGGACTCCTGTAGATATGCCATGGGTTTCTGAAGCTAGGAGGAAATAACATGATGTAATAGATCTGGTCTATTGAGTTGACGAAGTGAAGATGTAGGTTTTTTTATTAATAGAAGGGCTAAAATGCATGTCTGGAAGCATGCATTAGTGTCATCTAGGTTGCGGTGGTTGCATATGAAAGTAGGAATCCATAGGTTGGAGGTATTTGCATGTTACGCTTCAGTGAATGGGGACAGTGGAAGAACCAGAGGTGAATTTGGAGGAAAGTATGCAACATTCTGAATTAATGTGATCAAAGGAAAAATATTCTGTTAAGTGACCTGAACGGATGTGTTTGGATGTGTGGAAACGAGATGAGAGCTTATTAACCTTAGTTTTCCTTTTTGAAACTCTTTCTTTAACAAAATAAGAACTGACTTTAACAATGAGCTTTTGTCTTAGTGAGAAGGTATGTTACTTCTAAATCAGTCTTGCTAAAGTCCTGGATTTCTACATCCCTGTGGGATGTAGGTGTGGGAGAAGGGGAAAACAGGTTCCAAAGACATCTCTGGATGCTTGTGACTTTGGCATTTTCCTGTTTCCATCTGCAGTACTGCTCTGTGGAAAGTGGGAGTCGGCCAGTGTCCCGTAAAGCCGTGGGACAGAATGCTGTCTGCTTGCCTGGCCTTGTATGCCTGGGGTATGAGGCCAAGGTCATGGGCCTGGCCTTCGCTTTTCTGGGAATCTGGGCCAGCTGGTGGTGTTAATGGTCAGCAAGCGCCATGTTGGAGAGCTAGGCAAAGCATGGCATTTTTTCAGACCGGAGATGATGGAAGAAAACTCACTGCTAGCCTTCTTTGGTACCACTCTTAAAGGCAGCCACGGCTTCCTCCCTTTTTCCTTTGCGCTGATCTTGCTTTTCCTTTTAGCTTGATAACCACCTCGACGTGGCCGTTACGACCCACACAACATGAGAACAGAGCCTCCCTGGAGGAAGACGATGGTGAGCTGCCCACCCAGGGAAACTCCCTGGGGCTAACTGGCCCTGTACGTTCAGCCAGCTGGGTCAGGAGCTCTGAAGCTGGATGGAGGCCCCACTTAGTCCCAAATTGGGATTGAGCCTCCTGAGTGACCTGGGGTGACAGGTGCTCCCCTGTCCAGGGGTCCATCTTCAGGCACCAGAGAGATTGGCGCTTGCAAGGTGGGCTGTATGAAGCTCGGCTCCCGGGAGCCTCCCTTCTTGCTCTTTTGGGCAGCAGCTGAACGCTAGAAAATAGCCTTAAGGGTGCCCAGCCTAGCCCGAGCAGCCAGCTCACACGAGTCCTTTCCTCTCCTCCCTCCTGAAATGGCGCAGGCTTTCGCCTCTTTTCCTCTTCTGTGCCAGGAGCCGGTGGGGAGCCCGAATCTGCCCCTTGGAAAAGGCCGGCACTGCGGCACTCCAGCTCCAGGTGAGGACGCAAATGGGCGGGAGGGGAGGGCTCTGGCTTGAAAGGATGCAGTGGATGAAGACCTCGGCTCCTGCCACGCACGCGAGCCCCCCGGCCTGCAGATGGCCTTGGCCACCCTTTGAGGCTGGCTCAGGGTCTGGGCTTTGGCGACCTGCCGGCTGAAGAGTGCCTGGTCTCCCTGGGTTCGGGCCTCTGCCAAGCCACGGTCTTTCACTGAATGAAGATAGCCTTGGTAATTTTTAAGCCATGGCTCAGAGGGTTGTGTGAACTCAAGCAGTACAATTTGCTTAGCGTAGCAAGGTAGGATTTACACTGGACTGGGTTTGCATGACATGGTGATTGTGTTCACGTGGCATAACAAGCACATTTAAGCAAGCATATTGTGCAAACTCAGCTCATGAAATGATGTGTTGTGCAAACCTAAATATTGATTGAATAACATGGTTAAGGATAAGCCAGCATGACTCACCCATGAAGAAATGGAATAGCTGGTCTTCCAGCCTATAAATATGGTTTGATTCAGATATCCTTGTGTATATCCAAATCTTCCATAATCTTCCAGCCTCAGAATCATAACCTATTAATAAGAGTATATATGTTTGCTGAGTATGGGAGAAAATGTAATTGTGCTTCATTCCCCAGTGTTGCTTGTAATTCTTCCAGTGACCTGGAAAGTGACCCAGAATGGCAGAGATGCCAAGAAGCTGCAGTGACGGCAGCAGACATTCTGAAGCAAAGTGGCCTGCCACCACCAGCGGTCCAGGACTCCGACCAGGGCCAGAGTCGCCGGGCAACAGAGGCTAGGTGGAAAAACATCAAGAAGAAGAAGAAGAAGAAAGGGGAAAGAGAGGAGGGTGGCCAGCAAGAGGCCATCGAAGCAGGAGGTAACAGCCAGACCATCCTTGGGTCTGAGGGCCCCTCATGTCCCAGCAGGGCCCATGAGAGCACAGAGACTGTCAGTTGGACAGACACGGTGCAGAGGAAGAAGAAGAAGAAGAAATGGAGGAAAACAGAAGCAGGAACAGAATGAAGATCCCTCCCATACTTATTTGCCAGTGAGAGTTACTTCCAGAGGGGAGGTGGCTCCTGAGTTTGGCCTCAGAAACTTCAGAGTCTGTGAAAAAGAAGGGATGCTCAGCGATGGAGAACAGCAGCTCCAACGACAGACTCTGCTTTCTGGGCAGCTTGTGGGGTGGGATAGATCAGGAGGGCTGCTTGGCTTCTGGGGTAGCCGTTACAAATCCTGGAGGAAGAGCGGGCTGGCGTTCCTTGCATCCCATCAAGGTGGGCCCCTGTGGCTGTCGCTTTCTCAGACAAGCTAAGTGGCTCTCGGAGCTGCAGGACGTGGCAGGTATGACCGGTGTGGCACGGATGACCACCTTTGTGGGCTGCCTTTTCAGGAGCAGCAGCAGCAACTTCTCTGCTTTCCGACCTTGTCTATCTGAATAATAACATGACTCTGCTTTTGCACATCCCCCCTCCAGACACATGGCTCTGGTTTCTGTGAGATGCTTATTTTATAAACAGCCAATACACATAACAATATTGTAGATACAACATCTCCCCTGTTTGATTGACCAAAAATTAAATATATTTACAAGACAGAGCTGAAGAGGCACTTGATTCTAAGAGTTGAATCTCCAGAGTACTCTGGGGCCTAAGGGCAGCCCTGGAGCTTGAGATAGCCAGATGGAATAGCTTTGCTGCGGATTTACGAGATTCAAAAGCCCAGTAAAAAAATTATTTGACCCTAAAATAAGCAGGGACAACAGCGTGATGGGTAGACTAACTCTTCTTATGCCTAGTTAATTTCTCATTTTCCTTTTCGCTCAGGCTTGGCCAGTATTTTTCCCTCTGGCTTTTGCTTCCAGCTCCTTAAATGCGAACAATTTGTGGCTCTCCTAGCAACAGAGAGGTCTTGGCTTTCCCTGTTTTGTTTGGAGAAACTGATCTCCACTGAGGCCAAGAGTAAAGCTAGCAGACCCCCAAACATTCACTGTGAAGAAAATTTGAATTTTGGGTTTTGAGAAGTGGCATCATTGGCCATGTCTAAGTTGCTGCTTTTGAGGGCAGGCGTACATGGCCTTCGTGCTGCCTCTGGCCACTGCTCAGGTGTCTCCAATGTCTGTTTTCAAGATGAGCAATCAGTGGAAAAAAGCAAGCAGCTAATACTTTGTCCTTCAAAAATATTTTTTTGAATAAAGCAGCTAATACGTTGTCCTTCAAAAATAATTCCTGAAATTCCTGTTTCTGCCACTGGTTCAGGTTATGCCCAGTCAGAGGCTGTGTTACATAACTAACCTAGCACTTGGGGGTGTCTGAATCCAGGAAAGGAGGGTTGAGACACATCCGATGCCGGTGGAGAAGAGCTGACAGGATGCAGGTTGTCTCGGATCGCATTCTTTGGCTTGAGGCAGCAGCAACAAAGGCCCCTGGTTCCTAGGCGATTTGTAGAAATGATGCTCGTCCTTTTTTGGATGTGGGATTTACTGTTGTTTTCACTAACATTATGAGGGCAGGCTATTTGGTTTCTTTATTTCTAAAACGGGAGATGAGTCTCTTAGATTCCAGTACCTTCTGCATTTGAACTCAGCGTCCATGTTTTACTTAGCTAGACCCTTATGTCTATTAAGAGTGCATCTTTTCATTTAAATTTGAAAATAGTTCCTCTGTATTCTGTCTAAGATGGTTTGGTGGCAGGATGCAGCTGTCACGCTTGATTGCTGCAAGAGCCGAGTCTCCTAGTTCCTTGCACCAGCGTGCAAGCATGCAGAAGATCTGAGACGTATCACCTGCCTGGTTCAGACCTCTTGCATTGTGGCCGCTCTCCTTGCAGTTTCCACCCAGGGCCGGGACTGAGGTGCTGCTTGTGGGCTGAGAGCCATCCGGGAGCTCACTGCAGCCATAGCTAACTGGAATCTGGTTGGACAGCAATGGCCACACGTTTTCCCAGGGTTCAGCACCCTAGGTCTGGGCCCTGTTCTACACCCCTTATGAGAGGATGAATGCTTCCTTTTCTTTGTTCCTTGGCCTATGGGCACCTCTGCTCTCCCCTCCTCCAAGACTTGCTCTGGGGGCCCATGTGAAGGGGAGAAGGGGCCCCCCACTTCTGCTGTGCCACCACGCGTCCCTCGGCAGCCTTCCTCTGAGGACAGCTCAGCCTCAGGTCAAAGAACGTTGTCCGCTGAAAGCCTTTCCTGTCTACTTTTTCCAGCTGTTCTCAGCAGTGCAAACTCCAGCTCTTCCTTTCTGTTGCTTGGCGCATATTTTTGCTTGGAGCTCTGAAATTACAGTGCGGGGGGGAAAGGAGCGTGCCGGTAATGGCGGAGGCGGCGGCCGTGGGCACGGACTGGCCTTCCCTCCCGGGAGCGGGCGTGGGAGAGGCCCCTCGTGCTTCAGGCAGTGGCTGCTGATTGTCCAGTGGCCAGCCGGTTATTGCGTGGAAGAAGCCATTTGGGTGGAGATGAAGGTCTCTATCACGCCATGGGCGGAGGGCAGCAAGTGGCCGTTGGTGGAATCGGAGCTCTGGTAAAGCACCAAGCTGCCGGAGGAGGCTGCTTTGGGGAAGAAGGGGATGGGGGAGCACAAACGGCACATGAGCACGAAGAGCTTTTCATTTCGTTCCTTCCTGAGCCACCCCCACAGTATCAAAGTCACATTTGATCAGCTAATTAAAAAACAGGAAGCGATTATTTTAAAAACACCTGTGATAGGCAGCAGGTTTTATTCCTAACAGAGTTCATGGCTGACTGTTGGTGGCATCATAGCAGAGATACCCCTCCCACTCTTGCAGGTGACAGTGACTCTTCTGGGATGGTGCTCCAGCGCCAAGTGAATCCTCAAGGAACAAAGCAGGATTCCTGTCCCCACCTTATATCACAGGCAGGTGAACGCAAAGCTTACCCGTTTGCATTTGTTTTAGGGCCCTGGGGGGCATTTTGAAGGGAGAGGACTCCACCACAGTACACTGCCAGAGCAATGCATCTCTCCTCAAAGCTGTGCAGGTAACCCTCGACTTACGACCACAAGAGGGACTGGAAAATTCATTGTTAAGCAGTGCGTTCATTAAGCAAGGCATCACATGACCACACCTGATTTTATGGCATGTTTTGCAGCGGTCGTTAAGCAAATCATGCAGTTCCCCATTGATTTTGCTTGTCGGAAGCTGGCTGGGAAGGTCACAAATGGCGATCATATGACCCTGGAACGCTGCAACCATCATATATACGTGCTGGTTGCCAAGCATCCAAATTTTGATCATGTGACCGTGGGGACGCTGCAGTGGTTGCAAGTGCAAGGACCAGTAGCAAGTCACTTTTCTCAACCTGTTGTAACTTCAAACAGTCGCTAAACAAATGTTTGTAAGTTGAGGACTACCTGTAATGCCATAGGGTTTTGGGATGCCTTGCCGCTGCAGATCTTCCCCAGCTATCTGTACATGTTTGTGCACCCTCATACAAGATGAAATGGCTGCGTGTACACGCACAGATGGCTGGGGTTCCACAGGTTAGCCACAAAAAATTTCCGCAAAGGCAGCTGTTGGGTCCTTGTGCTGCATGACTACACTTTAAGGCAGTGTTTCTCAACCTTGCCGAGTTTAAAATGGGTGGGCTTCAACTCCCAGAATTCCCTAGCCAGCATGGCTGGCTGGGGAGTTCTGGGAGTTGAAGTCCACCCATCTTAAAGTTGCTGAGGTTGAGAAACACTGGTTTAAGGTGTTAAGTTGGATTGAGAAGAGCAGATTAAAAAACATCACACAGCTTTAAAAATATCTTAGTACTTTCATACACTTATGAAATGGAAAATTTTGTTGGCTCCAGTATGGAAGCTTACGTTGATAGACCCATAAGTAGGGGCTATGAGTGAAATGTTTTGGGATCTACCAAGAAATGGAACAACTCCTAGCACAAGGTTGCAAATAGCAGCCCCTTACCAGCAGGGCTGGAGGTCAGGCGGGCGCCCGACTGAAGGTGCTGCTGAATGGAGCCTTCCTGGCCCTGCAAGTGGACTGAGGACTGGCCGGGTGGCGTGGGGATCCCAGATTCCGTGTGGGTGTCCGAGTCGGATGTGAAGATCTGGGGGAAAAGCATATGAAAAAGCACAGGCAGTTACAAAGCACGCCCGTGCTGCCTGCTAGAAGCGTTGCAGTAGAAGATGGGACATTTCGATTCAATAACAGTGGCAATTGTTGGCCAGGCTTCGCTTAGAAACTAAAATGGATCCAAAGCGTTGAAATGAAATGCTTTGGATCTTGCAGAGTGACAGTCCCTCTATCTGGGGATGCAATCTGTTTGGTCCTAGAGATTGAAACTCATACGTTGTTTATCAACCTTCCTTCCTTCCTTCCTTCCTTCCTTCCTTCCTTCCTTCCTTCCTTCCTTCCTTATTTATTTAGTATGCCACCCATCTCCGCCAATGGGTGACTCTGGGCAGCTCACAATTAAAACCAAAACCCCAAGCCATTCAAAAACAATACCATATAAATAATTAAAGTGAATTAATTAAAATCCGACTATAAAACATCTATACACCGTGGGCTTCTAAAAAACATCTAAAAAACTTCTGTACATTGTGAGCTTCATCCTGTCTCTTTATAGCCCACCCTGCTCCTCACATTTTCATACTCCTGTTTGTTGAAGAAGACTGATGAGGCTTTTCGTTATCTGTCAGCATTCTGAGTTCTTCATTGAGCAGCTGTTAAATTTATCATTTCCTAGTTCCTTTATTTGAACATACCTGAACTAGCCTTTTACGTTGCTAGCATCGCCACTAACCCTCATCTCATTCAGACTGTTCACTTTCCTCTCACTGCTGGCTGTCTGGCTACGCTCTTCCCTGGTGACCCAACTTTCTTTCCATTACCTGTCAGCGTCTTTTTTGTTTTCAGATCTTCATTCATACTTTGTGTGGCTGTTCTCTTGTTCTCTATTTCGTTCCTTTGATTTATTTGTAATGGCACTCCTTTATCTATCTCCTCCTTTAGGTACAGCTACTCATCTTGAACTCCTCTTCCCATTTCTCTGTTCTGCCACGGATCCCATTTTTCACTGCTCTATTTTGATCAGAATTCAAATTCAGAATTCTTTAAAGTCCAAGACACGCATTTGACTAGACTCAGATTTATTTTCTCTTAAAACCAGGAACCAGCATTACACGGCCCATTTCCATCAATGTTCCTGCTGCTTCCGTTTCCTCAGCTAAGCCTTCCTTCTTGATTAGCATGGAGTCCAGGATGGCTGGACCTCTTGTGCCTTCCTGGACTCTCCCAAGTGGCCAGCAAGACAAGCTCAGAATGTCTTGGAAGGACCAAGCAACGCTGGAGGAACTGAAGTCCCCCGTTCACGGCCCTTCGTGCCTTTGCCATTTGCAATCTGATTTTGGCATCTGCAGTTTGTTTTTAGAAAGCCCTTCTTGGCTGGCTGGCAAATAGTTGACACCAGCAATAATGTTGCTTTGATTTCTTCTGCCATTGATTTTAACCCAGGTCCTCTCGGCTGTGCTGCCAAATTAATTCCCTTGGATTTCCCAACAGGTAAAGACGCTCTTAACGTACAGTGTTTTTCCTTTCCTTTCCCATTGCTTCTGTTCCTTTTTAGCAAATTGCACTCTCCCCTTCCATTCCATTCCAATCATGGGAGTTACCCCACTGGGTTTCTGTTTTCTCCCCCTATACTTAGAGTTCAAGCTCAAGTTCAGGCCTGTTTATTTCCCATCCTCTGAGCATTAATATACAGACAAGGATGGCCATGACCTTTTTCAGCCAATGTTCTTTTTGCTTTTTCACTGAGAGGTTTAAGAGGCCCCCATTCAACAGCACCCCCACTTCTGCAATGCTTAAGTCTGTATCTGAGGTCTTTCCTTTAGAGTTTTCAATTCCACACAACCCACAATTCAGTTTAAAGCCCTCCTAGGCAAGCTTTGGGGAAACATATTTTTCACAGTTCTTGTGAGGTGCAACCTATCTCATGCTGGCATCCCACTGTCCCGAAAACTCAACCCATGGTCTCTCATTCCCATTGACACCGCTGTGTAACCAGTCATTGCCTTACAGCAGTGTTTCTCAACCTTGGCAACTTTAAGATGAGTTGAAGTCCACGCTGGCTGGGGAATTCTGGGAGCTGAAGTCCATACATCTTAACGTTGCCAAAGTTGAGAAACCCTGCCTTCCAGTGCTAGTCTTTCCCTTTCCACCCCTCTTCCTTGGATGGGAGAAGTGGGCAAGAATGCCACCTAAACTGCTGGAGTCTTGAGATATTCAAAGCCTGCGATGATACAGTTATAACTGTTGTTCCACTACAAGTTGCCCCATGTGTATGAGGAGGAAGGAACAATTGCCAATGAATTTGATCAATTTCGAAAGCTGTTCTGGCATGCCTAGTCTAGTCTCCTGTCTTCACTAGCCTCTTGTTCCACAGAAGCACTGCAGGAGAAGTTTCCCCCAGAGAGATTTGCCTCTAAGACTCAGGTTGACCTGATGTGGATACAGAAGCAGACGCAGCATGGCTCGGCTCCGCTCGTTCTCTCACGGCTTGGAGCCCCCTGTGTGGTGGGCCTCTGGGATCCTTTCAGCCGTGTCCTCCCCACAGTCCCCCCTCACCTGTTTGGTTGGCGTCAGGCTGGCCAAGGTGCTGAGGTTTGCCGTGTCTGTTATCACCATGGTCTGGGGCAGAAGACTGGTGTGGGCATATTGAGTCACCTCTGGCTTGTGGCTATAGAGAGCTAGGAGTAATGGAGATGAAGAAAGCACCATGAGCAATGGCGACCCTGAGGGACAAGCTGGGGAAGTCCTCCTTTTTATCAGCTCCAAGGTGATCTTGGATGTCTCTGGCTTGAGGATTCAATTCTATTTTTCCATCCATAATGGATATTTGGAATAAGAAAAAAATGAAAACCCAGCAAGGTTTGTCTAACAGACATTATTGTCTGGACCTCTCCTAAAATAATGCACTTGAGACTGGCCAGTTGGCCAGTTCAAGTCTGATCTGGAAAAAAATATCTTTCCTTTATCCCATTTATTTTATTTAAAGGATTTATTTCTCCACACCACCTTGAAGAAACTCAAGCTTATACATTTATTTTATTTATTTATTTGCTTGCTTGCTTTTTTCTTCGGTGCCTTTGAGTCAGTATTGACTCCTGGGGACTGCCTGGACCAGCCCCTGCAGTTTTCTTGCCAAGACTTTGGAAGTGGGTTGCCCTGGCCGCCTCCTTCCCAGGGCTGAGAGAGAGGGACCGGCCCAGGGTCACCCAGCCGGCTTCGTGCCCAAGGCGGGGCTAGAAATCCTGGCCTCCCGCCTGGTGCCTTAACCGCTGCACCGGACTGGCCCTCTCCTTACTTATTTACTTACTTACTTTTGAGATTTATAGAGCACTGAGAATCTGTTATGACACTGCGCAGCTTACAAAATACAATAATAAAAAACACAGTAAAAACCAATAATTATGTCATGAAAAAAGAACACGCGGCAAAAGTCAGCAATCCTTTAAAAGGCCAGAACGTCACACAAGGGGTGCATCCCCCGCTCTGGCCCAGGGCCTGGGGACAGAGCCAGGTTCTGCAGCCCCGCTGGGTACACCGGACCAGAAAACCAACTCCACGGAGGAACTACACTCTATTGAGATAGGCTTCAGTGACAGAACCTTGTGGCCGTCCTCCTTCCATAAGTGCTAGTCGAGCGAGCCTGGTGGGAAGGGACGGTCACTGCCACGCACCCTCTCCCTGCCTTCGTCTCCAGGGTTGGGGGAATATTGTGCCCAGGCCTGGGGAGCTTTCACAGGCGCTAAGTGGATCCCCACTAGGCCTGTCCCGATTCTTATCAGTCGGACTAACCCTTTCTCAGAGCTGCATCGGGCAGTACCACCCATGCTGGGATCAAGGCACGCCCCCATCTGGGGGTGCCTGGTGTGGAGAATGCCCTGGATTGCCCCCCTCACTTCCCAACCTACCATGAGGAGCTTGGATCTGGGCCATGGTGGCCATGAAGGGGCTCTGGTTGAGGTGGCCCTGGACTTGCTGCATAATTGGTTGCTGGTAGGACGGGTGCAGCTGCTGGGAGAACTGCACGGGCTGGAGGGTAGTGAGGCTGCTCCCCATGTTGTTGATCACAGGCACACTCTGTGCTTGGGTAGAAGCGAGACCTGGGAGACAGGGGAGCGTAAAACCAGCTTGGCAGCAACAACACACAGCTTGTCAGATTGCGGCACCTAGGTGTGTGTCTGTCTGTCAAAACCCTAGTGACTACCCACAGACATGTATTCACACCCTGCATGTGCGCCCACACACAACTGGATGGGCTCTTGCGTCTTACTAACCAGAATGTCATTTGTTTGGTTTTGGCCTAGCAGAGTCTTTTTTTGCAAAACGTGATGACTAGCTTACTGTTATGGGCAAACTTGGCCACATTATGGCTTGTTCAACCAACCATGCAAACTGGCTTAGCATAGTTTGAGAACCTTGAGAGCCATTGAGCTGAAACATTGTACGGCTTTTCTTAGTGTGCCCTACAAGCCCAGCTGTTTTGATTTACAAACCATGGTTTATGGCTTTCTGTTATGCACATGAACTTATTCAAATGTTGGTTCAGATGAACTGTGTCTGTATGGAATGTATGAATCCAGCCACACGCACTCTTTGACTACCCCACTGGTTCCTTTGGGTGAACGCTGAGCAAAGTGGCCCTCCCATGCTCTGGCCATAATATTTTCCACCCAAAAATATCCCCACAGCTGGAAGGCCTCACACTCTGGGAAGCGCCTCTCATTTAGAAAGGAAGGCCCAAGCTGAGCAGAGAAGGGCATGGCGCCACACAAGTGAGCTGCTCGGCACACCCGCAGGTGTCAGTTCCTTTCACGATGCCCATAAGGAACCCACTCTCCCCACCTGATGCCTCTTCACTTACCAATGACTAGGGTGGAGGCCCCCGTGTTGGTGAATGTCGGCGCGAGTGAAGGCGTGTCTCCGGGGCCAATGGCCATGACCCCTGGGAGCGAGGCCATGATGAGGTTCTGCGTTTGATGGCTTAGAGCATGTGGGTTTTGCTCCAGGCTGTGCAGCGCCGTCAGGGTACTGACGGGCGGGAGCGAGCCCCCTGAAGCAGAGATCTGTAGGACAGGAAGGAAGCCAGAAGGTCTAAGTGCTCTTTGGAGCTCAGCCGGCTCTTGGGGGCCACACTGTTGCCCAAAGAGCTCCAAGCCAAGGGTCTCTACCATCTTTTGCTTGATCTGGTGAGTCTTGACCCTGGCTACTCCTTCTCCTATTAAGCTACACTAGAGTCAGCACCCAGCTTGGATATAAACAAAGGTAACACTCCTTTAACAATCTGCCTTACTGGGCCACTGTAGCTGGAACATACCAGGATGGGGAAGCGCTCAAAATGCACCCTCAAAGGATGGCAGAAACTGCAAGGGGTCCTTCTCCTTGGTGGTAGGGTGCATGCCTTTGCTCCCTGGCAGGCTCTGAGAATCCAGCCGGATTGTCTCCCTTCTGGCACCCACCATTCACTCACCAGCTTGGTGTCTGGCCCTGAGCCAGATCCGGTGGAGCAGAGGCTTGGGGAGGAGGCTTGGTGCAGGATGGTCTGGGTGGTCGCAATGGGATTGTGCTGGCTGCTGTTGGAGGTCTCGGTCTCGCTGACTGGCTGCTGGCTGTACCTCATGCCCGGGTCTGAGAAGGAGAGACCTTGCTGCTGCTGCTGCTGCTGCTGCTGCTGCTGGAGGGGAGACGGCTCTGCAACGACAACGGGGACAAGAAGGCCGGGAAATCATTCCAGCAGCGGGTCCTCAGGCTGATCGCACCGAGACGCACTTCCCTTGCCGCGGTCAAAAAAGCCGGGCCACAGCAACGCCCCCGCTCATCCCCTCTGCCCCAGAGCTCCCAGGGCAGGGCGGTCTGCAGCTGGGATTCAGAAGCCCCTGTGCAAAGAGGGTTTTCCCTTCAGAGGAAGTGAAAGGGCAGACCCGAGGCCCCTCTCCCGAAAGATAGCCCATTGCTGCTCTGCTTGTGGCCCAGGTCAGCAGGGGCCCTGAAGGCCCTCAGCCAGGGTTGGAAGACCCATGAGGGTCCAGGCCCTTCCTATGGGCACCCAATATCCAAGGGCATTGCACAAGGAACTCCACTGGTCAGTGAATGCAAGCAGCACCAGCTTGCACCACTAAAAGTCAGCAGCAAAAGAGCAAAATCTGCGGGCGCAGCTTTTCTGGGTCTGAAAACAGCGAGCAAAATAAGCCTTCATTTAACCCTCAAGCCAACGCCACCACAAGATGGCCTATGAGCAGGAGGAACCTCTGCTCCTATTTGATATTTCTCTATGGACACGTTTACTCAACGTCTCAGAACCAGTCTAGTGCAGTCCAGAGGGAAATTCTTCCCTCTGCCTTGCGCCAGATGCATCAAGCAGACGTGAGCAGCGAGATGCATCCGATGGGGTTATTGGGCCAGTCAACTTGGACAGGCATGCCAGCAATCTTTGTGGTGCCTGAAGTCTGTTGCTTTTGCACATTCCTTGAGTCCTGAGGGGCGAGAGAGGATTTGGAAGCGACTCAGGCAGATGCCCCCCTGATTCACTGGGGCATAAGAAGGAGGGGAGGTAAAGCACAATCAGGCTTGCACGGTTCTGTCACCAGAGCCATCCTCAACAGAGCCTAGTTCTAGTCTTCCCATGGAGTGGGTTTTCTGGTCTGGTCAACCTAGTGGAGCTGATAGCATCGTAGATTCCTTCGGGGTCCCACACAGAGCACAGCAGCATGCTTGGAAACACGAATGTTGGGAGGCTGAAACTCAGGGCTGTGCCAGGACAAGTGCTAGAAAGTGGGGGCAGAGGAGCAAAGTGGGCCCTGGGGGACAACCAGCATGCCTTCTGCTGGGAGGATAAGTCAGGGTGGTGAAGAGCATCATCTTGCAGGGCTAAATGGAGGGAGAGGCAGAAGGAGTCCTCCCCAGTTGGATTTCTGTGGCTGTCCAGGCCCACCGCTGGCCATTTTATGAGGGTGCCTTTGACGACATGTCGTCTGAATTCCGGGTGGGCCTTCTGCCCCAGAAGAGCGAGGCCTTAAACTGGAGCAGAGGGAACGCTATGGCAGGGCCAGGGAACACAGGTGGCATTCCGGCTCTAGTGAGGGCACTCACAAAACAGCTGCCTTGGTGAGCATGGCCAGTTGCAAAACACCCACCTCCCAGAAGGCCAGCCGGGGAAGGTGTTTTCTGCCACCCCGTTGGCCATGCTGCCCTACCCGTGTTTCCTTTGTCAGCAAGGCGCAAGCAGTATTTGGAGACTAAGCACCGGGCACTCCGTAGGTTTTATTCTCTATATGGGAAGTGTGTCACCCCCTCAGGAGGCCCAACCTCCCCCTCCCCGCTCTACAAAGAGCATGGCAGAACCTGAGGCCACAAGGCGGAACTGCAGGAAACAAAGATGCTCCAGGGCAGCGAAGGTCCAGGGTCTTCCTGTCTCGCTTAAATAGGCATACACACGTACAGACCTCCTAGTCGCTGACACCTCCCTGGGGGCTCCTACTGCCCCCCCCCCCCCCCCGCCCCCCCCCCTCCCGTCTGGCACTCACCATGGTCTTTGCCTGGGGAGAGAGCTGCCGCTGGCTGGAGGGAGGAGGAGCCGTGAGAGGTCAAGGTGGGGACGGAGCCGGCCTGGGGGCTGTTGTAGCTGTCCATGGCAAGCTTGTGCCGGAAGGCCTCCTCTTTCCGGCGGTTGGCGAACCAGTTGTAAACCCTCACCTCGGTCACCAGGTTGGAGCCCAGCCCTTGGGCCTGGGACGGAGAGACGCCGCGCTGAAGGCACTCTGCCCTGCCGAGAAAGGGCATGGCCTGGTCAGGTCTGGGGCAACCACGGGGCCTCCCCAGTCTGAAATGCTCCCGACGTGGCACAGCCGGAATTCCCAGCACGCCGAATGGGAATTCTGGAAGCTCGGGTCCCCAAACATTTGGAGGTTGGGAAAAGCTAAAGTGACCTTCAGTGATCTCCAAGAATATGTTGCGGTTGGGAGCCTTGGCCTGGGGTGCTTAAGGCAGAATTATCACGGTTCACAGCACATTAAGCACCCTCGGCTATGGTGGCTGAGTTCATTCAACAGGAGTAAAGCAATAACATGACTTGTTTAGTTTTGGTTAAGGTGATACATGAACCCAGCAAGCGATTAGGTTTCTGTGTCGGAGAAAATCATGATTTTCCTTTCCAAGATTTATTGACCAAGTATACAGTTGTACTAAACCATATATATGATTCATAAACCAGAATTGCTGGGTTTACCTAACATACTAAGCCAAACCCAGCGGACCATATTATGGCTTAGTTGATAGGTAAACCAGGTTCAAGAGATGTTGTGCATTACTTGCATACATCATGGTGACCACCATCCTGAAAGATGGCTTGTTCAGCCCAACATGCAGTTGCAGAGAGTTGCAACTGCGTGCCAGAGCTGGCAGAGTCCACACCAGGTGCCGACGGACCCCAAAACGCTTCGGTAGGAATCCAGCACTTTTTGCAAGATTCAGGTCTTTTGAACAGACAAATCCTCGTAGAAATGCTTCTCCAGAGAGGAAGTTTGAAAGCTTTTACCATGAATAGCCCAGGGAAGTTCTCATATATTTATTCTCGGCAGCTGCACTGTAGTCTAACTATGACTGTGCTGAATCTCTCAGCGCTGTTCCATTTTTAGCATCAAGTTATTGGAGTTCAGGTTTGGTTATTTGTTTAATTGGAACAAAATAGAGATGGAAGGGTAAAGAGGCACCCACTCCCTTTTCATCTGGACCAGATTGTCCGGAGGGAAATCAGTGAAACTTCAGCTGTCCCTCCCAACGGGGATCCGGGGGGCTACTGAACTTGGCCCAGGGTGGCTGAATTCACGTCCTGACTGAGAAGAACAGAAGGACCCTGTCTTGTGGCGCTGGATCAAGGGGCCACCCATCTGGCACGCCCTTTCCCGTGCTGGCCTGGGAGGCTCACAAGCGGGACCCCAAGGTCTTGTCCTGAGGCGGCCTTCCCAGGACAAGCGGCCACAGGAAGGTTCAAGGCAGCGCCCTTCTCGCCCGGTACCTGTTGCACTCCTCTACTAGAGCCTCCCGTTCTTCCTTGCTAGGGTTCTTCTGCCTCTCATAGGCTTGAAAGAGGATTTGCTGTGACGCTGGGCCCCACTTGAAGCGGTTCCTTCTGCCCTTCTTGGCCGGAAGGTCGTCTCCCACAGGGTCCTCCACCATGAGACCCTGGCCAGCATGGGTGAATTCTGGAAGGGCAAAAAGAGGGCTGCACTCCTCAGAGAACTCTGAAGGGAGCATCAGCTGTCGAGGACTGGAAACTAAGCTATTGCTACTGGGGAAGGAAGCAGAAAAGGCCTTCGCGTGTTTTCTTGGGCCTGAGAGTTGAGGCACTGTCTTCTTGCCCCTTCCATTTTCAAATAACTTTCCCCAAACTATTGCCCTCCGTGACCAAAGGCCGTTGCTGGTTGGGAATAATGGGAACTGAACTCAGACATCTCAGAGCCCTGATTTAGATCCCACCTCCAAAATCCATCATCTTGCAGTGTATGACCAATGTCAAAAAAGTCCCTCCCAAAATTGCTATGAAATTTTAAACATGTACATGATGGAAGGAGGATATAATTAAATGTTTAGGAAGTCACCATATTAGCTCTTTTTAATTAATTCCATGTATATGTACAATTAAATTAAATTAAATTAAATTAAATTAAATTAAACCTAATTGCCATGGCTTTGCTGCCTATTCCTCTGTCTTGACCCCATCTCCTTTTTGGGGGTGCAGACTTCCACAGTGACACTCATAGACACCCCCCCCCCCAAATTTGCAGGGATCAGGATTTCAGACCCACAGGGTGACATGTTGCTACATTTCCACAGGAAACATTTTCTGCACAGCTTGTAACCCAAGAGGGGCTGATAAGAACAACCACATCTGCCTATCCCAGGTCCTTGGGAAGGACTTGAGAAGTGGATAAAAATGCCAAATCCAGTCTAAACATCCAGATGACTCTGCGACCAACCATCATAATACTAAATCCCCCAAACTTTTGCAGATGCTTCAGAGCCCCCTCTGACTGTGGCTAACATCTAGCCGTGTCCTGCTGAAAATTGTCAGTGAAAATCCAAGGCAGAATGGCTTACGAGCCTTAGAGTATCTCATGGACTAAACAATTAGCCCTCCCCAAGCCCACCTCTTCTTCTTCCCACCGCTTCCGCATCGCCCCCTGCCCAGGCAGCCCTCAGCCCGGAAGGAGGAAGACTGGCCCGGTCTCAGGGTTGCCTGCCTAGGACACCATCTCCTCTGGCTGGGAAATTGTGCTCAGAGGCGCGACGCCTCCGGGGAAGCTGCTTCCAACGTGGGCTTGGAGCAGAGGCACCTCCCAGAATCCGGGCCAGGGCCTGGTCTGCAGGGAGGGGAGGGGTCTTGGGGAGGGGCACGCGGGCAGTTGCTGTACTTACGCTGGGCCACCTCTCGCTGCTTGCGAACGTACCAAGTGTACAGGGCCGCTCTCTTCTGGGTCTTCATGGGCGTGCCCTTGTTGAGATGCTGGGAGAGGTGGGACTGGTTCAAGCCCGTCGTGTCCACCACCTCCCGCTGGGGGATGTTGTGCTGCTGGAGGTAGGACTTCACCATCTTTGCCACCCTCCAGGGATCCTCCCTGGAAGAGACCGAAAGCACCTGCCTGAGGGAGGGGTCCTTTGGCCCCGGTGACTCTTGAGGCACAATCCAGAAGTGCTGGGTTCACACAACGTGCTGCCTCCAAATGAATGAAGCTTCTTAGGGCATAACACGATGGTCTCTGATTCCTGCAAAGTGTGAAGACGCTGGCTGCGTCCCCAAGCCCTCTTTTAGCCCCGCGAATGTCATGACTAGGAAGCATGCTAAGACTACTTTTATCCTGAGGTTACAGTAACAGAATCTCACAAGTCTGAATGCGCTTCCCCCTCCCTTCCTTTATCTTTGCGAGAACCAGGGAGGGTCTTGCCAGAGACCCATTCTCAGGTTACCATTCTGGCCCAGGTTCAGATTTCTTTTCTCTGACCCTTGTCTTGGGGGTAGCTCTTCCTCCTGTTCCTCAAGGTGATTCCTTCTTCCCCTTACAGTGAATTGTGCAAACCCAGTCAAGCCTCAGCGAGCACAACTTCTAGTTCACAGTGAACAGCAAAGGGATCTTTCATGCCAAGCTTCACGTCGGTACAACTTGATGCACGACTCTTCAGAGGCTCAACCCTTTGAGGAGAAGCCGGAGTCCAGCAGAAATTCAGCTTATCCCAAACACAGGCACCCCACCATGTGTGCATGTGGGTGCCACTGTGTGGGTGTGTATGTGCTCCCAGGGTTTCCGTTTTCCACCTCCTTCTCCAGCCCTTTTCCCAGACTGGAAGATGGAGGCCCTGCGCCGTCTCCCCAGAGAGTCCTGCCTGCTTGGCCCCTCTCGGCTTCCTGCCTTGCAACTTCACTCTCACACTGATACACTTTTGCACACGTTGTTTCCTGCTCAGAACCATTGCATCTGAGTAGCCCTGCATGATGGCTTGTCTGTTTTTCCTGCAATAAATGAAAATGGTGCTGCGTTGAAAATAGGGGGAGAACAAGGTAAAAACTGGGTGCTGTGTGAACAAGCGCATCCTCCCTGGCTCTCTGGGTCACATGGCAGGCCTACTCCTGGGCGCATTCTGATGCAGTGCTGGTCTCCCGTTCCACTCACGTCCCTGACAGCAGGGTTACCAAAGTGCCGAATCCCAGGAGAACGTGCTCCTTCCAACCAAACTTTTCTTTTTTTTCTCCTGTGGCAGAAGCAGGAGAGCCCGGAGAAACACTAGGATTTGGCGCATACGCACTCCCCCCACCCCCATATCCATCATGAAACAAAAGCTATTTGCACAGACAGGAATATAGGATCCTCCAAGCAGCTTGGGCCTTGCAAGGTGACCAAGCCAGGCTTTGAGAAACAGTGAACCGCCAAATAGGATGGAACTGAACAGGGAGAAATGTAAAATTCTGCATCTGAGTAGGAGAAATGAAGGGCACAATACAGGGTGGGGGAGACCTGGCTTGGCAGCAGTACACGTGAAAGGGATCTGAGGATCCTCGTGGACAAGTTGAACATGAGCCAACGGCATGATGCAGCTGCCGAAAAAATAAATGCTATCTTGGGTTGCAATATCAGGAATATAGACCATGGGAAGTAACTGTTTCACTCTACTTTGCCCTGGTCAGACCCCATTTAGAGTCCTGCACCCAATTCTGGGCAGCAGAGTTCAAAAAGGACAGTCACAAATTGAGGTGAGTTCAAAGGAGGGCTACCAAGATGGTGAAGGGAAGCCAAGACCTATGAGAAACACAAATCTGGAGCAGTCAAGCATGCACACTAGACTTCAGGAGACCAACAAGCTTAGAGAAGTACTAGGCAGAGTCCCGTGGACAAAAATCCTCAGGTCAAAGGGAGCGCGAGGGAATTCTCCAAACTAAGATCCTGAAAGTAAGACAGCCCCCCATTCCAGGGAGGAAAAACCCAGTGGGCAGCATAAGAAGCCACTGTGGATGCACAAGGAGCTTCTGATTGAGCTAAGAGCCAAAAGGACAATAGAGGAAATGGAAGAGGGGTGTATTCCCCCAGGAAGTGTACCAGACGGTAGTTAATATCTGCAGAAAGGAAGTCGGAAACACTGAAGTGCCAAAGGAGCATAGGCTCGCAAGGGAAGTTGAAAGCAATAAAAAGGGCCTTTTGGCTCTATCGGTAGTAGAAGCAAGGAGGGGGAAGGGGTGGGCCCCCTTGCTAAGAGAGGATGGTAAGAAGGGGAAAGGGCAGAATTCCCACTTTGCTTCCGTCTTCTCCTCCGGGGGAACTGCATTCGCATGGCTCTAAGTAGAACTGTGGGCAAAAGGAGGGAATGGTAAAGAAAGGGGAGTAAGAGGTGTTTAGGACGCACTGACGACTGCGAACGGGTTTAGGGCTCCAAAATCAGATCAGCT